AAAAGCTGAAACAAATCCAGCATTAAGATGCTTTTAACTAAAATATGAGTCCATAATTCATAATTATGGACCAGAACACTTTTTCACTGGAGGAAGCAATATTATGGATTATTACTATTTTGAATTAGTGTCTATTTTTATTTTTTTTCAGTTTTTATTTTTATATTTTCATTTTTAGTTACTTCTCCCCAATTTTAGTAACTTTCTTATGTGCTTTTGTCATTTTTTTTGTCATTTTTTGTCAAAAAATAAGATAATACAATTTATTTCCATTTTAGTTTTAGTAATTTTAGTACTTCAACTTATTTCCGTTAATTACCAAGGCAGCATTTCTAATTTTCTTTAAGTTTAAAACACTTTTTTTGTTAATTTTTATTTCATCATATTTAATGTTTAACTGTTTCATTTTTTAATATACATTTTTTAAGTTTAATTTCTTCATATAATACTTACACTACATTTTATTTCAGCATCATTTTAATTAACAAAAATGGTTTTAGGTAACATTAACATCCCATTTAGGTAGCAAGTTAAAATCCCATTTTATGGATTATGGAGTCATATTAGTTGGAAGCAAGTTAAAAAAGTTAAAAGCATCTTAATGCTGGATTTGTTTCAGCTTTTGTCTTCTCCAGATGTTAACTGATGGACTGGAGTGCTGTGGATTATTGTGATGTTTTTATCAGCTGTTTGGACTCTCATTCTGACGGCACCCATTCACTGCAGAGGATCCATTGCTGAGACACTGATGCAATGCTACATTTCTCCAAATCTGAAGAAGTAACAAACTCATCCACATCTCAGAAAGCCTGAGGGCAAGGACACATGCAGCATATTTTCATATTCCAGCATATTTAAAAAAAAAAAAAAAAAAAAAAAACACTCTTCTGTGTCTCTCCTGACCGCTTGTTAACATCAGGCGCTCTATAAACCTACTGAACTGGACCAAAATTGTAGGAAAAGTCCATAATAATGTTCCCAGTTTCACTAACAGATCCTATACTGTACATTGCTTCACCTACATTTCATAATTAAGCACCTTGAATCCTAATAGTTGATGATTTTTTATGACTCTTCTGTCTCATGCACCTCGAGTCACTTTATTTACTCATCTTTAGGGTTTTTAGTATGACTTCAAGTCCGTATAAGATCGTGTACAAACACCAAAATCATCACCTGTAGTTACATGAACTCAACAGTCACATGATTTACTGTCGTTCTTCCTCAATATTATTATCAAACGCTCCTGTCTGCTCCTGTGCTCCGGTGCTCTTCCTCACGTCCTGAAACATTGACTGTGTTCGGAATGGACTACTAGCTTACTACATACTCAATACTGCGCAGTATACTTACTTTGAGTAGCTGAGGAAACAGAACAGAACAATACTATTGTTAATCTCATTAATCTGCATATTATACTGATTTCTGAAGATCATGTGACACTGAAGACTGGAGTAATGATGCTGAAAATACAGCTGCGCATCACCTGTCACAATCAGTTAAATGAATGGCTTTTGTTAGAAATATCTTGTATGTGTTGCAGATTGAGTAGCACCTACTGCACTTTATGCACGAGTTTGGTTTGATTCACTGTTTAGATTAAAACTTCAAATCGATTTTTTTTGCCCTTTTCTGGAAATTGCTTCAATGTACAGTGTTAGTTATATTTTATATTCAGATTTTTTTTTTTCTGAATTAAAAAAAAAAATTGTGAATAATGTCCTGCCCTGGAATAATAAAATAGCTTGTCCCTTTTTCGTTGTGAATGCTTGTCTCTAAATATGATAAATATTGTTTGTGTGAGTGTGGGTGTGGGTGTGGGGTGTGGGTGTGGGTGTGTGTGTGTGTGTGTGTGTGTGTGAGGGTGTGGGGTTGAGGGTGTGTGTGTGTGTGTGTGTGTGTGTGTGTGTGTGTGTGTGTGTGTGTGAGTGTG